CCTGTCTATTCGATATCCCAAGGGGGTGGTGAAAGCCGTGCTTGTACGTGTGGGGGAGCTAATTTTTCCCGTAGACTTTTTCATTCTAGATGTGGCAGACGTGCACGAGAACGGGAAGGATCACACCATCCCTCTCGGGAGACCATTCATGGCCACCACCAACACCCTCATCGACGTAAAGAACGGGACCCTCAAGATGACGGTCCTGGGCAAGTCCGTGTCTATCTCCGTCCGGGAAGCCACATCCTCATCTTCGGTGAATTTTGTTGAGGAGTGCGCATTTGTTGATGTAACCGACCCTTTCATTGAAGCAGTGGCTATAATAGCCAGTTCTGTATTAATAAAATAACAGTTTTTAGTTCCAAGTTGAACTATTTCTTTTATTAATACTGCTCGTCTGGAGTTCCGAGCCCAGTTATCAGCTATTCAATCTCAGTTATTAATTCCTGTCCATTTACTTTAGCAATGGAATTTATTCAGTCGGGATTAATTATTTCAGTTGACGAATAATCGAAACCGAGTATGTTTCGATAAATCGTCCAAGTTAAGCCGTGTCCGGAACCGATTCGTTCGGTCGCGTGTATCGCGCCCAGCCAATTCTCGAGCCCTAGTTGTTACGAGTTTTGTTCGAGCCCTAGCCATGCTCATAGCCTTACTTAGAATATTTTCTAAGTATGAGATCATTTTTATCGAGCCTTCGATATCATTCCCTCGGCCTAAGTAACCCCGCACCGAGCTCGTGCACGGGTCCGAGTCCTCGTGCCCAAGTGTCGCGTGCCTTGCCAAGCCGCGAGTGCCCAAGTCATGGCCCAGTGTTTCGAGAATTCTCCTAAGTGTTTTGAACACTTAAATCCAACCTTAGATAAGAGTTAGTCCCGACCCAAGGACCATGCGCACCAAGTTTAAGCCTCGTGCCATAGTGCCGCGTGTGGGTGCCTTGAGTTGCGCTGAGTAGGCCTTGGCTATGGCCATGTTTTCAAGGATTTTTCTAAGTGTTAGTAACACTTATGTCCAGCCGTAGTGTTATAGGGGTAACATTGAGACCCGGGACATGGCATGATCCCTTAGCATGTCAAGGTCCAAGTGACCCGAGCACAAATGTGCGAGGCGTCGACTAAGGGAAGGACGCGAGCTGGGCGCGTTCTTGCGGCTGGATTGTTGGTTCAGTCGGGTCTTCGTGGGGCGACGAAGACATATGTGCGATACTTAGCCATATTTGTCCAAGTGTTGGTCGGATCATGTTGGTTGGATAAGTCGAGGGCTCGGTCGGACGAGGAATACCGCAGGTTGTGCATGGCCTTGCGGGTATGCGGGATAACTCGGGACGGTATGGTGCGGAGCAGCGCGGTGCTTCGCATAATTGTCGGGTAAGGCGTGGACAAGGGCGACGTCCAAGCTCACCGATAAACTCGGACGAGGGTGTTGGCTAATTAACCAAGATATGGTCGGACTTAGGCGAGTTCGGGCACGAGAGTGCTTCGGACAATGCAGCTCGATGGGCGCGCACGAGTGTTGGCGCTGCGTCTAAAGCTGTTGGCGAGAACGATTGGAATTTGAAATGGGCAGTTGGGTTGCACGTGTACTAGTCGGTTATTCCTAGTACCACATGGCCTATGCGGGATTCCTTTGAGTAAGCATGGCCAAATGAGTGCAGCGGGGTGACACGTGTCTTGGCGGTTCCAAGGGGCACGTGGCACGACGGTTATTAACCCGCACGTTGGACAAATGTGCATGACGGTTGAAGACCGTTGTTGCATGGGCTAGGTTGGCATCAGGTTGATGCGGGCACGTGGCAGGGAGCAGTTGTCCATAACTGCCAAGCGGTTATCAAGCGGTTGGGGGACTGCTGGATCCGAGGCCTATAAGTAGGCCGCTGAGGGCATTTACGCGGGGATATACAAAAGAGATCGAGCGCGAGATAGCGAACTCGAGAGCGTGATCAAGCGAGTGACCACGATACACACTTGAGAACTCGGAAAAGCATTTGAGTGCTAAACACGAGGGTGCAAGGCAAGGCAAAACAGAAGAGCGAGCTAGTGTGCGAGTGATTCTGTGTATTGTATGCTAGTGATTGCGTGAGTTGGCATACGCCAAAGTGTAATAGCGTGTGTGTGTAAGTCCAATCTCTGTAAGGCTGGATTAGTATACTTTGTAAGTGCCTGCATGCACAAAAGTGTGGGGTGTTGAACCGTGTATGCAAGCTGTAGGGTCTCCATTGTACTTTGTGTTATAATAGTGCATTGGTTGGGCGTGAGCCCGTAATATTGCGTGTCGCTGTTTTATTTTATTGCTTCCGCATGTGTGTGAGCGACTTGTTTGCATAACCTTGATTTATACTTGTATGGGCGAGCGAAGGATCAAGGTACGGTGAAGGATGACTGGTTTTGTGGAAAATCAGGCCGCATAGGGTGCTAAGGATGCGAAAAAAATTTAGCCTCTTCGAAAAAAATTTAGCCTCTTTCTAGACCCTGTGACAAGTGGTATCAAAGACCCACGTTGGGTTCTGATTGCTGATTGTGTTGGAACAATGGGCGATGCTGTTCGTCCTACTGATCAAATTCTGATGACCTTTGAAGCGCGGATTCAAAGGCTGGAGGACTTACTAGGGCGACCTCCTCAGACGCCCCTTAATGCTGCGGTCTTCGAGCGGTTACAAACAACTGACGATGCGCTCGTTGACTTAGGCAAAAAGGTGGACGCAATGAGGACCTCGGTGGAGTCGCTGCCCGAATTCGTTGAAGGGCGGATGGATTCTATGCGAGATGAGTTCATGCTATTGTCTGAAGAGGTTGAGTCCAAGATCACGAAGATCCAGGACGACGTTGCCTTACTGAAGCGGGTTGGCGCGAGTGTGCTCGCGGAGCAGCGCCAAGCACCGTCGAAAGTCCGAATTCCAAATCCTAATGTGTTTGATGGTACCCGAGATGCCAAGGAAGTTGAAAATTTCCTTTGGGATATGGAAGCGTATTTCAAGGTGGCTACCCGATACCATCCACAGACGTCGGGCCAGGCCGAGACGAGCAACCGACAAATCAAGACTATTTTGGAGAAAACAGTGAACTCGTCCCAGAAGGATTGGTCGAGTCGAGTTGACGATGCGTTATGGGCCCAACGGACAGCGTACAAAGGACTTTTGGGGATGAGCCCGTTCTGACCCGTCTACGGAAAAGCGTGCCACCTCCCGGTTGAGATCGAGCACAAAGCGTTTTGGGCAATAAAGAAGATGAACTTTGATCTTGATACCGCCGGAAGAGAGCGAACTTTGCAGCTCTCGGAACTCGAAGAATTGAGGAACGCGGCGTATGAGAATTTAAAGATTTACAAGGACAAGGTCAAACGACTCCACGACGCTCGAATTGTCCGGAAGGAGTTGGTACCCGGCATGCAAGTGCTCCTTTTCAATTCCCGACTTCGTCTATTTCCGGGAAAACTTAAGTCCCGGTGGAGTGGCCCATTTTTTGTTGACGAAGTACTGTCTTTCGGGGCCGTCCGACTGTGGAACCCGTCTACCGGTGAATTATTTGTCGTGAACGGACAAAGGATCAAGCCTTATTTTGGAGGAGAAATCGAGAAGAAGCACGTCGAGACCGTCGATCTCGACGAACCTCGATATACATGATCGCGAGAATGCCGAGCTCCCGGCAATAAATCGAACAATTGTACAGCTATATTTACTTATTTATCATAAAAAAAAATATCGTAAGCAGGTACTAGCGCTGCTGGGTACACCCTAGCGGCTCTAAGGTAGATTTCGCAGCGCCGCTAGTCCCGCTAGCGGGCTTCAAAGCGTCGACCTCATTCGACCCTAGTCTGGGAGTTGATAAAAAAAATTCGAACTCCTCCTTCTTATTTCACTAACACCCCGCTCTCTCTTTCTCTCAGGCGTACACTCCGACCAACTCGCTCACAGCTCATCGACCACCGCCATTCTCTCCGTTCAAATTCCGAACATTCTACCTCCAACGACAACCTCAAATCACCGACTTTCACCAAACTCATCACCTCCGACGACAAGAAGGACACGGCTACCTCATCCACCCCAACAACAATCCGAGCACCGACCTCAAGCACCGACGAACCACCAGCTCCGGCGTCACCACTCTGGTCACCGCCATCCAGCACCACACTTCAACCAACATTAGCTCCTCCAATCATCATCACCATCATCCACGAACCTCCACTGCCAAATTTTCTAGGGTGCCCCAACCCTAACTCGTCAATTTGCTCGACTCCGGCCAGAATTAACGTTCAAAGGTACGGTTGGCTATCCATCTCTATAAATTGTTGACGTGTGTGGCGAGAGGAGGCTTACTCCGGGACCAAACCATTACGAATTGTTCACAAAGACTCACCGCTCAACCCCGCACACCAAGTGTTCGACGAATTGCTCCAACAAAACAACATGCCAAGAGCTACGGCTAATTCGAAGAAAACGGCACCATCCAAAGTCGGGGCTTCTACGAGCTCCAACCCCACCCCGGCATCAGCAAAACCGAACCTTGCTCAACAACATAACGTCCCATTCCTAGTATTTAACATGGACGAGGTTACGACGTTTCAACGCCTCAACTCAAAACCGATCCTTCGTCCCCGCGTACTCGATTGGGAACCTCTTGAGCGAGCGCGCATCAAAGAGGACGTCGAACGTTATTTGTCCCTGCTCGACCTCGAGTACTTTGAGAGCATGGCTCCACGAGCCTACCCGACTCTCTCTCTCGAGTTCTTCTCCACGGTTCAAATGCACGAGGAAGGGAAATATCTCACTGCTCGGCTCAAGGGCAAAGAATACAAGATCACCAACAAGTTGCTCAGTGAAATTTTCAAGATGGATATGAAGGATCCATGAGGGAGTCCGACGGTGTTTAAGGCGGGCCCGCACTGGCCACTTTTAACCCCAGGTGTCCCGTTTAAGGCGACTGGGGCATCTTCCAGTTTCATTTTGGATGTGGCGCTCGGCGTGGTCCACAAATACATTTGCCATACGATTTTCGGCAAAAGGAATGGAACAAAGTCAGCGAGCAACAAGTGTTCATTTTATGGTCGCTTTCCCAAGGGAAGTCGGTTTGCATGCTTCAGTACCTCAAGAGAACTCTTTTTGACATCCGGAATGATGTGAGGCGTGGAGCGAACTTGTGACATATAGTGGCTGAGATAGCGGCGCATTTCAATGTCCAAACTGATGAACCGTGTATGCCGTCCGAGTGGGTCGGGAGACTGTAGCTCCACCATGCCGAGTGTAATATCCCATCCAGTAAATTAATAAAAGTAATTATTCTAAGTTTGAACTAATTACTTTTATTAATAATGCTCGTTCCTAGTTCCGAGCCAGTTATTAAGTTATTTAGTTAAAATTCGACATTAAGTCGAAAGTATTCTCGGTTCAATTTTATTCAGTAATCGAGTCAGTTCAGTAATTAATTAATTTCGGTCTGTTTATTTTTATAAATGGATTTATAAGATGAGATTAAGTAATATAAGATGACGAATAATCAAAATTGAGTATATTTTGATTAATCTTTTAAGATAAGTAGTGAACAGAACCTAAGTATGTTCGGTCATGAGTTGAGTCTTAATTAAGTAATAGTCGAGCCTGAGTACTAAACACTTAGGATTTTTCTAAGTGTTCAAGTCATCAAGATAAGATCATAGTATCGAGCCTTAGCACAATTTGAGACAAGTTAAGTCTCGAAGTAAGAATAAGTATCCATGGACATTTAAGTTATAAATGTTCAAAGAAGTGAGAAAATTTATTTAGATGTTTTTTTTCCGTGTTTCATAATACGGCTGAGCCGATAAAGAGGATGACTAGGGTTTGAAGCGACAATCCAAAAAAACCTCTCGTATTCACTCGTTTCAAAAAGCATCCCCGCCCATAGTCTATTTAAATTATTTTAAGAGAAATCGAAATTTGTAGAATTTTTGGTTTTTACGGTAATCGTTCGGTTTAAGTTCGAATGTGGTTCCGTAAATGTTAGAATATTCCAAGATCATTATATTAGCTTCAAAGAAGCAATATGTTCAGTAAATTGAAGGAAAAACCAGGAGTAAAAGATTTATATTTTAGAATTTTCAGTTTTACGGTAAACGTTCGTTTCAAGTCCGAATTGAGTTTGTAAATTTTATTATTCTTGTTTTTCTTAGCATGTTCTAAGACCGTATATGAGCATTAATTTTCATAAAAAGAGTTTTAAGAGTCAGCCATTTTGAAAGAAAATGCATAAGAAATAAAAAGGATGATTTTTTTATTTTTATTATTTTTTTCTAAAGATTTTTATATGATGAAAGGGGACATTTTTTCAATAATATATGGAATCAATTCCATCAGATTAAGCAAGAAATTTTGGTCTTCAATTGGTGAGAATGAGATGAGAAAATCACAACAAAGTTTTGCTAAGTCTTTAAGTTAGCATTTTTTTCAACAATTGGTGAGAATTTTATTACACTTTGGTTGACTAAGTTTTATCTATCAAAAGCTCATGCATGGCTATAAGTAGAGGAATTTCAATCAAATGTTATCATCAAGTATCTTCTCAAATCATCATAGTTTAATTAAAAAGATAGAAAGAGAGAGGAAAATAAAAATAAAAATGGTAGAGTTTTAATTTTCGAAGAAATCAAGGAGCAACTTTAGATTTTCAAGCAAGAAGGAGGTAAGATGCTATCTTTTTAATATGTTTAGTAGATGATATTAAGTATTTAATAATGTTTTTATATGACTTAGATATTAAAGTTTTATATGAGTATAAGCATGCTAGAAGATAAGTTATTTCCAGCTCATATATATGTCATATGTGTTCAGTTATGATGAGATTTTTACCTAGTTATGAAAAATCTGGAAATATATGCTTCCTATGGTTATTTCTTGTATAAAATAGGAGTACATAGGATCAAGAATCAAGTCATTTAGTTTAGTATAACTCGAGATATGAATTTTTAAAGTTTATCATGCAAGCTGAATTTTATATATGTACTTGTTTCCAGCAGCAACTTTAAACTTGAATAAGTCGAGATATATGTATGATAAAATTATGAATTTTTTATGACATATCTAATTATGACTTAAGAATATGACTGTTATATTTCATAATTTAAAGATGAAAAATGAAGGAGTTAAGATAATAAGATGGCATATATGTAAAGATGAGTATATATGCAAGAATATTCATTATATGATCAAATTGTTAAAGTGAGATTTTTATGAATAATTCTCATATGAGTGATGAGCAATTTGACAAAGTTTTTGTTTAATATGTTTAGTTTACAATTTTTATAAAGATTGTTTTAAATCTCACATATTAAGATCATAATTTAGTATTATGATTAAAAGTTGTATTGTATGAGTATTAAGTTGAAATATTTAGTACCATACAAGTTAAGATGAGTTCATTATTTATAAATCATGAATATTATGTTGGTAAAAGTTAAGCATGTTTTGAGTTTAAATACTCAATCAACTATAATGTGAAATTTAGTTATTTTCACACTCGAGTTATTTAAGTGACATGCGAGTATAAGCCAATATCTATGACTTTGAAGACATGATTTATAATAGACCTTGAGTAAAAGTTCAAGAAAGGTTAAGTTAATTATTAACTTGAGCAATAGCATGTCTATTAAATTTCTATAAGATTTGGATAAGTTAAGAATCCTAGTATCTTATTGAGTATACGAG